CCTGACACCAGATTGTGCAAATTGGGCAAGGATACAAACGAGTACAAAGTCTGCAAGTATGAAGTTTTTCTTCATAAACCTGATTATTAAAGCCAAATGAATTGCCNTTTTGTATTTTTTTCAAATTCATTGAATTTACCTGTAGACCAGATTGGAGATGCGTAGCACATCGAGTTAATGATAATTGAGTTAAAAAGTTGAAAATGAGTTCTCAAATTCTTAATTTTAGCTTTGCAGAATAACACTATCAGATTATTTATTAAATTTTTTGCCTTTGTTATTGAGCTTTTATATTGTTTGTCAAATGATAAATTAGGCGTGAATATTATTCCCAAGAATTTAACTTCATTAACTATTTTCACTTCTTCTTTCTTGATATAAAAGCACATGTGTTTTTTGGGTAAATTACTGCTGTTACGAAAAATCGTTATAACTGATTTTTTAAGGTTTATTTTAACTTTTAAATCTTCCAAGTATTCGGTTATTTGTTGAATTTTCCTGCAAAGTGCAGCAGCCATTGGAGCTACTAATACAATGTCGTCTGCATATGAGATAGAGTGTATGATTTGGTTGTCTATTTGGATGCCGTCTTCGTCTCTTAGGAAACATTTGTTTAAGTCAAATAGGTAAAAATTAAAAAGATAAGGAGACCCTCTGTCTCCTTATCTTTTTAATTTTAGTAGACCTCTATATGTTATAAACGGTGGCCAGACATTATTATCTTGTTTAATTATCGTCTCGTATCTCCCAAACAACAAACCTATCATTTTTATCAAGTGTTAGTCTGCTTTATGTTTTTTCAGTTTTTTCTGTAGATCATTTATACTAATCGAATCGTACGCTTTTTCTAGATCTAAAAAAGAGCAAAGACTTTATGTCTCTTCTTGATTAATTGTACTTGAATTGATGCCATTAAAATGAATAGTGCAGTTTGGGTACCACCTCTGTCCACAAAGGCATATTGCATGGAATTCCTATAGTTATTTGTGGCTGTCCAAATATTAAATTTATCCGCTAGAATTGATGTGAATATTTTCCGAAGGTTCGATAACAACGCTATTGGTCTGAAGGTTCCTCTCTTTTGCCTTTTTTTATATATCATTGTAAAAATTATTTTGTTCCATTTATCCGGAATTATACTTAGATTATAGAATTCGTTGAATTGTTTGGTCAAATAGCTGATGAGCTCTAGAGGAAATATTTTAATAAGCGAATTGGGTATCATATCTGAACCTGGTGTTGATTTGTCTTTTAGTTTTTTAATCCGATCCTGGACTTCTTCCACCTTAATTATTTCTGAATGATTCATTACTTGTGATAACTTAAATTCCATTTGAGTTTGATTATGATTTATCAAATAATTTTTGGAAAATTCTTTAAAATATTTAATCCACTTGTCATGTTCTACTCTTATATACACACTATAGTCAGATTTCCTTTTGCGAAATTCATTAATTGTTGACCAGAAAACTCTGGTATCTCTTGATTCTGTTAATTTCTTGCTAATATTTGAAAAATACTTCTTCTTTTTTGCTTTAATTAAATTTATATATGTTCTTTTATTTTGTAAGTATTTCATTAAGGATTCTTTTGTATTAGTTTTTCTAAAGACTTTTAAACTTTTTTGTTTTTAATTTTTTGAATATAACATGTATTGTCATACCATTCACACTTATATGTTTGCTTGTAGGGACTTAAGCATTTCCCAAATCTGTATTCTTCTAGTTTTGTTGTAAGTCTCAAGTAGTTCATAATTGGCTTATTATCTTCCTCTAAGATTAACATTTCATCAATTATATTTTGGAACTCTTTTAACAATTTCTGTTTATTGTAAGAAGGTTTGTAGTCAATGCTTAATGTATGGAATTGTTTTTCGATCATTTTATCTCTTATATCTTTGTAGTATTTCAACACTAATTGAATCGGAAAGTGATCCGATAAGTCATCCTCCAGAACTGACAGAGACTCACAGTAATCTAACATAAATTCTGAGCAAATAACATAGTCAATCGTAGATTTTCCATTTGGGGAGACAAAAGTAAATTACGCCAGAATATCTCCCTTTAATCTACCATTCAAAATTATTAATTGATTATCTTGTACAAAGTCTAAAAGTGTTTTACCATCTATGTTTAGCAGTTTATGCTTGGATGTTCTTCTGTTACTAATATTGTCAAAATTCTGAGAAAATTTAGTATCAGTGTTTTCTCCAATTTGAGCATTAAAATCTCCTCTAATTAGCCATTGCTGGACTAAAAAGGACCATCTTTCTATATAATTTTGAACTTCACGTAAAACATTTCTCTTCTCAATTGACGGTGGGAGATACATTACTATTAGCCCCACATAAGAGTAATTCCATCTTGATTTAATATTACTTTCCACATTGATTATTGCAGCAATAAAGTACTCTGAAATATATTGGTAAAGTATGTCCCCCAAACTCTTCTTAATAAGCATCAAGATTCCTCATAAAGGATGACCGAATTTACTCCTGCTTTGAGCATTACTAGTTATAATACTATGATTTTGTGTGAGAATATTTTTTTCCACAATACTTAAATTTAACATCCATGCTTCTGTGATTCCAATTATGTCGTTTGAATCTAAGAACTCTCTCACTGAATTATTATGTAGCTTTCCTCTCATACCTTGGACATTCTAAAAACTTACTAACAGTTCATTTCTATCGTTTTCTGACAGTATCGTTTCATTATCTTTGATTATTCCGTTTACCACTACTAAGTTAACTTCATCATTATTATTATTATTTTTTACTGTAATAATGTTGCTTTTGTTAATATCCTGCTTCATATTAAATTTATTCATTGCTGTTTCAAAGCTTGATTTATGTTTGTTTGTTCCCAAAAAATGATTCAATTGTATAATCTCTCTTGTATTCGTATCATAGGTCGACTATTATATTATATAAAAGATAATATAATAGTCGTCTCTTACTAAAATTCTATTATTTTCTGTTTTCTCTAACTTAATCTTATTTATTAACTGTTTTCTTCTGATTCTGGATCTCAAACATAGATCTGTTGTTATTATTTTTTTCATTTCGTCGTTCATTTTTGGTCTCACTGCCCAGAATTTTTTAAGGATTATATTTCTATCTTTAACCGATTCCATTATGATTTTTATTATTTGCTTATTATGATTATTTTTTTAACTGTACAAGACCCTCAATTTCTATATTGTTAAGTCCAGAACATCATTAGTAAACTTTTTAAACTCTTCTAACACATCCAAAGTTTTAAATGGAAAGTTCAATATAACTAAATTTTTCTTTGTATTTTCATTTAACATTTTATCGAGTTCGAATTCCAACATACCTTTTAAATTGGTGTAAGAATTAGACTTTTCTTCCAGTGTGTGTATCTTTCGGCTAATATTTTTTCATCTCTTCCTTGACCTTGGCATTGTCTTTTTTTCATGATGTTGATATTTCAGATTTTATTATTTGAATTTCCAGATTTAAGCAATCAAACTTTTCCTGAATCAACTCGTAAATTGATTTAAGTGAATATTTTGACTTATCACAATTTTGTGACACTGATTCTCCTGTCAGTTCAAAAAAGTCTCTAATTGTAGCATTTCTAGAATTACCAGTAGACTCCTTCACATATTCTTCTGATAGATATTCTTCTCCCAGTAGCTCTACCAATTGATTATTTTCGTCAACTTCTTTAGCGTTTTCCTTACGCGGTCTCCCTCGCCCCCTTCTTTGCATAACTGCTTGACTAGACTGCAGGGAGGATCGAGGAAATGGACCGGGATTTATTTCGATTCCAGCAATCATTAATAAAATTATAATCAATTTCAGCGTTAGTAGAACATTTAAAATACTTATTTTAACTTGATATTTAACACTTTTCCTTAGAATTTCCATAACCAACTTATTCTCAAAGGTTCAACAGAAAAGTCACCAACACAATCACCGGCCAATTTCGAGTATCAAAACTAACCATATGAGTAATATTAAATATATTTTACATATAGATTTTAAGAATTATGAGCATATTTGTAAACAAAGAATATATCATTTTAAATGATAAAGACTTTTTTGTTTTTATTATTTTTAGGCTTTTTTAATATTTTGTGCAATTTACATTTTAAGTTATATTTTAAAAACATGTATTTTTAAATTATTGCTTATTTCTATACATAGTATTCTTGTAAATTTACCTTGTATTTTAATATGTTCTGTATTTATTCATTATATCATAGTAATAATTGTTTTTTATACGTTGTAATGTATAATATTTTTATTATTTGTATTTTTATATAATTTTAAATGGATGTTGTAATGTTAATTGGTTAATTGTGGTGGTACTTTTTACTCATGGTATTACCTTTTTAATAAATAAATTAATTAATTAACTTTCATTTATAAATCATATCTGATGAGTGTATTGATTTTATTCATTTTAAATTGAAGAATTGACAAATTATTTTTTTGAAAATTTATTATTACTTACTAAAAAATAAAAATTACTGTAGAAAATTGATATATTAATGAGCAATTTAATGATGATGTAATGTAAAATATTTTATAAATTTATTAAATTCATAATTAGAAACAACTAAGCTAACATATTTTTATAAGAAAAAAATAACTATACAAATTGAAAATTATTAAAGTTTTAGAAAATATATAGTGAATGAAAAAAAAGAATATATAAAATTAATTAATGTTTGTGGTTTATCTTAGGATGTAAATTGATAGTTGATAGCCTAAAAAAATATTAAATGTTAAAAGATCACTTATAGAACAATTACTATAAAAAGTGATGTAGTAAGATAATTTTAAAAAATTATTTTGTAACTAAATATAAATATGCTTGAATCTATGTGTGTGAAAAATTATTTGTAACAAAAATGTAGTAAATAAAAGAAAAGTTTATATTTTTAAATTTATATTTTTGTAATAATAATTATAGAATTTTATCACATGAAAATTTTTAATTAAGATTTGTGTTAATTGTACTTTTTAGGAAATGTTTCGAGCAAGAAGAAAACAAGAAAATAAAAGAAAAAAACTGGTAAACTTATGCTTATAATTCTTAGTTTGTAATATGAAGTTGATTTTGTTATAAATTTTTTAGAAATTAATTAATTACAGTTTATAAAAAATTTAACATATATTTTTTTTCTTTGAAAATTATTAATTAAAACTCAGTATTACATTGGATGTTTTAGTAAAAATTCTTTTGTGGAAAAATTTATTTGCTTGCTAGTATTTTTTAGCTAGTTCTTCATGATGATCAACTTAGTTATAAAGTGAAGTTCAGTAATGTTAAAACAAGTTTTTAAGCAGTACAAGGTGGAAATTTATAATAATGGAATCTGATGATGATCTGTTGAATAAAAAAAATGATCTGTTGGACATCTTAAAAACTTTTTTTAGCATTACTGACCTTCATTTTTTAGATATGTGTTCAAAGAATTTCATTCAGATGATTTATCATTTATTGAACATGAACCTTCATCCTTCACAATACAAATAAATATTCTTGTTTTTAAGACTGCTGACTGTTTGCTGTCTAAGATATTTTTGTTTTCTTTGATAGCTATAGATAGATACCAGCTTCCATGTATATTATTGGGTTGTTTGGAAAGTAATTTCGTTTTTTCACCATTAGACGGATTAGTCGTATTTTTCCCGCCATTTTCATTCTAAACTGTATTATCGTTATATATTTTGACAGCTAGCATTTTAAGGCTTATTTGTAAAAAATTTTGTTTGACTTTGTGCAATTGTTTATTTTTTGTGTCCCATCTAATGTGGAAGATCGAAAGCAGCATTTTCAGCATATTTTGCTCTTTTATTACCGAAAAGATAAGAATGCTGTTCGAGCGAGAAAAAATTGTGAGACGTGTATGGAGAAGATGTATTGACAGAATGACAGTGTCAAAACTGGTTTACAAAATTTTGTTCTGGCAATTTCAATATTGAAGATGCACCACGTTCTGGACGGCCAGTTGAAGCCAATGAAAACAAAATAAAGATACTGATTGAAGCAAACTGTGAAATAACAACACATGAAATCACTAAGAGATTAAATTTGTAAAATTGAACTGTTTATGATTACTTGAAACAAATTGGTTTCGTTTGAAAGCTTGATATATGGGTTCCACATGTTCTTAAAGAGAGATGCTCTCTTTGGTGGGATTTTAAGGAAAATTTTTTTTTTTTTGAGCTTTTACCAGACAATTTAACAATTGATTCGAAGATGTACTGCCATCAAGTAAACAAATTGAGTAATATCATCAAACAGAAAAGGCAGCCAGAATTGATCAACAAAACAGGTATAGTGTTTTACCACGATAATGTCAAATTTCACACAAGTTTGGTAACTGGTCAGAAACTGTTATAACTTAGATGGGAAGTACTATCACACCAGCCATATTTATTAGATCGATCACACTCAGATTATTACTTGTTCCGGTCTATACAAATTTTTTTTAACTGTAAGACATTTACTTGAAATTTAAATCAAAAATCACTTGGATCAGTTTTTTGTAAGCAACGATCAAAACTTTTATGAATGTGAAATTGTACTACTACCAGAAACGATGACAACAGGACCAAAATGGTTGATATATAATTCAATAAAATATTTAGTTATTATAAAAATATTGTGTTTTTATAATAACTTTCTGAACAACCCAATATATAGATCAAATGACATAAAAATAAACTATCTAAACATATTATATACATTTATTTATTTATTATATTTTTTAAATTACTACTTGTTACAGTTAAATAATAACAAATATTTAAAATTTGTTATTATAGATGCAAGATCGCCCTTCTTGGACGCCTCAAGGACAGTTTGCACCAAATGTATGTAAAATTAAATTGTACTTAATATTAAAAATTATATGTGATTTTAGAAATGAAATAATAATTATAATTTTTAGCCTATTAATAAATCTCCCTTGCCAATTCAAAATGCTCGTCAAGAAGCATATAAAATGAGAGTACAAGGTATGCAATATAATCAATATTCAACTGATAGTCAAGGAAGTAGTTTGGATAATAAAGATGCTGCAAAAGCTCTAAAAGAAATGTTAAAATCGGTAAGTTTTGAATTGGCTATAGTTACTTTATATTACTTTACTAGATATAATTTTTAAAAAATAATATAGGACGAGCCAGATGATAGCAAAAAGTCTGATGATAGTTTATCTGCAACTAAAGGCGTAAAGAGGAAAAAATCAGATGATGATAGTGATGAAGAGGAAGTACCTTATGATCCTGTAAGGTATGCATTAGTCTAGTTTTTGTTGTTATAATAATGCTATATTTATATTTCTTTTAGTTTATTTAACATAATTTATTTTTTAAGTAATTCATATAAAGAATGTCAGTTACATAAATAGAATATACATTTAAAATTGGATGTAATGTGTATTTCAATGTCAAGATTTGATTTTCTTTTTAATGTCTAAATCTGATTAAATTGTGAATTGAAAGTTTTTTGCTTAAAACTTAACTTAGCCATGATTCTGAAATGTAAAGATTTAATGCAGAAATTAATCTCAAAATTGAAATTTTGAAGAAAATATGTGTAATATGTTTGGATTTAAAAATATAAATACCAATTAAGAAAAACACTTGATTTGATTTCTTTTTAGTTATTTTGTTGTAATTGTTTAATATTATTTTGGAAATTTTTAAAATAATATTGGATATGTCAAATTTATGGTTTTAAAATATATCAATACATTAAACTTTTTGCAATAAACAGCTTTAATAGCAGACTAATGTTTTAAATGAATTTAACTGACAATCATTAGGTGAATCAAACCATACAATTAAAAACAATGTATCAATACAGTAGAGCATCGTTTATCCGAAGGAATTCCAGTCGACAAATTTAAATTTTCACCAGTGCTGTGGCGCTGTAATCTTTGGCTATGTCTTTGGCTACTCAAATATTTTACGTTTTTGATACTAAATTAACTTCTGAAGTATAATTTTTTATTGTTTTTATATTTTTCAATATATTTATTTTGTTTGTACAAAATAAAAAAATAATTTTTAACAATACAATAGTCTTCGTTAGGCTTAACATCAACGAAAATTCAACGCAAAGCGACACGCAACGGAGAAAAATTTCAACACGGGATAAATTAATATATTTTTTCGTACATAATCGGTTATCCGAACAACCCCAGTCCTCAATTGATTCGGATAAACGACGCTCTACTGTATATGGAATGTGTTAAAGAAGAACACACATTTATGAATTCAAAAATAAGAACAGACCATCTCTAAGATTATATAGAATAATACAGAATTTTAAATTAAATTCATATAAAAATATAACACACAAAATTTTTTAATAAGAACAAAGCTAAACCTAATCAACATTAATCAGCATAGACTCTCCATATGTTCTGTTTTTCCTTTCACACTTCAAATACTGACCTCCACAGATTAGAAATATTCTCAGCATCATGAAAATTGATTTCTCCTGCCTAATGAACTTGTATATTTCCTGCATCTCCAAAGTTTTGTCCTTTATGTCGTGTACAAGATATATTATTTTAGCCTGCTACCATTCTACTTCTGGATATGATACAAAAGCTGCCAAATGAATGGCAGCTAATAATAATAATAAATTTTTTAAATTTATTGTTTGTTTAATATTTTCAATGTAATATTTAGTTTATGTTAAGAATTAAACAAAAAAAAAAATTTTTGTTTTATAGATTATGGGAACCTGGTTGGAAAGACAGATATTATTCACAAAAATTTCAAGTTTCTCCTGAAAATATAAAATTCCGTCAGGATGTGGTAAAGTTTTTCATTATTATAATTAAATCGTCTGTAATTTATTTAGATTGACTAATTAAAATTTTAAATAATTTATCTGTTTCACTTAAAATTTGCATTTCTGAATGCTGCTACAAACTTGACCAAAGTGTTATTTTTCAGTATTAGTTACAATAGTTGTTGGAATTTTTTAAATTCAAATATATGTATAGATGTTGAAGTTAATTTTGGTTCATTATGCCAAAGAACTGAGATGTAATTATGTATAAAAATTAATATAAAAATTAGTTTTAAGATTATTCAAGAAAGTCACCTTTCAAAGTGACGCAGTACACTTATAGGTCAAAAGGTCTAGCTTTAACTTCCATGAAAGGGGGGAAAAGGGAAATAATGATAAAAATAAAAATTACCGAAGCTCCAAAATTCACACGAGGGCTCGAATTCTCACATATATACACTTTATGTCAAATATTTAGTAACAGTTAAAAATTTTATAAGTCTATATTGTTGTTAGTATGAAATGCAACCATTATAGTTAAACAAACATTTACTTTAATATGATTTGTTACTTTTAAATTTCTAAGATAAAATTACAAATAGATTTCAAAATGCTTGATGTAGTTAATAATCTGACATAAAGTATAGTTGTTTTATTTGGTAATGAAATTTTTGATGTAATATAAATAAGAGATACATTTATCATTTAAAAAAAAAAGAAGAAATACATTATTGTTGAGAACAAATGCCTTATATAGTAGATTCTTGTTTTAATGGATCATGGCACAATGGATTTCTCAGAATAACAGATTTTTTTCTACCCCAAATCTATTGTAAACTTTCCATTTTTTCAATGTTTAGTTAATATTTGGGTGCTTCTGGAAATTTGTAGAGTTTGATGATGCACTTGTTACATTTGGGATGTGCACAGTTGAAGAATTGTACAAAGAAAATTATGAGCTCATATGATTGAGGAAAGGAGTCATCTAGTGAACACTGTTGCTGGCCTGAGTGTAGTGCCAAAATTTAGTGAGGCCATTGAGTATTTCCAAGTCATAAAAATCATTCTGACAAGTTTCAGCATAAACAGGCTGTACTGTACATGACATTGCTAATATCAAGTGGTGTTGTATTCAATAGACAGAAAAATGGCATCAAAAGAAACCAAGATGGATGAGTTTTTTTTTTAACAAATCATGAAGTCAAGCAAAGTGAATGCTAATGAGCATATGTAATTTGCCTCTTTTTATGCTTACAGTATGTACAGTTTTTGTCAGCTTTGTTGTACAGATGTATGGCATAATATACAAGATAGCTTCAAAAATTTCTTGGAATTGGTTTATTACTTAAAAGTATATGTACAATTGATAAATCAAGCAATATGTCCTTTAAAGTATTGTTTTTTGGCAACCACTCACTCTTGCCAATGCTAGTATAGCTGCTGAAAACATTCTTATAAGTCGTCTCGTGACAGTGCCTGCAACACAGATGTCGCACTCTGTATAACCTCATCTGCATTCTTGAAGTGACATCCCTTGATGGCATCTTTCAACCAGAGGAAGGGTTAGAAATCACATAAGGTCTGCCATTAGCATTAGTGGCATTGTGTGTTGGCAAACACAGTGCATGTTCAATTGATCATGCAGGATGGAATGACAACTTCCAACTGAAATTCCTGCTGTCTTGATGATCTGTTCAATTGACTACTACTGTCTGACCTCACAATCTCGCATACAACTAACACTTTCTCCTTAGACATTGATGTTGATGTTTGACTACTTAGCAAATCATCAGTGATATTTTGTCGTTCCTTGCAAAAGCATTTATGCCAGTCATAAACTCAAGAATGCTTTCTGGCAGATTCAACATAGCATCCTGAAGCATCTAAAGTCTCAGAGGATTTTTTCCTCAATAATACAAAAATAATACTAATAATACTAAACAAATACTAAAATAATACAAACTGTATTATTGAGGAAAAAATTTGTACGTATTTGTACGTTGTTCTTCCACAGACATTTTTGCCAGACTCTGTTTCACAACATATCAAAGGCAACGAAAAAGAAAACATGTAATGCATGTCTTAGCTAAACATGTCAGGATCAGAAAAATGTGTTCAACTAACCCAGCTTAATTCCAGGAACTTTTTGAAGCTATCTTGTACAATCATATACAGCATAATATACACATATGTTACAAACATACATATGTTTCTACAGGATAAAGAATAGAGATCTCAAGAGACTGCATAATTTCAAATAGTGGTATTTCTTATATACAGGTGTTAAAAAACAGAAATTTTTTCAAATAATAGATATTTCCCTTGGTGTGTAGGAAATCTGTTGTTTGTGATTTAATGGATTTACAGAACAATGGATAATTTTTGATGGCCCAAGCAATTTGTTACAACAAAATTCTTCTGTAGTTAAAAATTGTCTACATATCACCAAGCAGATAATTATATAATGATTATTATAAGACTTATTTCATATAAAATATTATCTAACAAACTTTTATTATGTTATATTATTTTAAATAATAATAATAATAATAATAAATTTTTTTAGGCTCAAGAATATGTTAAAGGACTTTGTTGGGTGTTAAAATATTATTATCAGGTAAAAACTATTTCAAATATATAGTAATAAAAGTTTTTATCATGCACACTCAGCAGTTCAAGAATATTTTATGAAAACAGTATTATGTTAAAATTGAAACAGATGATACCTTTTATTTGTTATGCTGTATTTTTTAATGACATCAAAATTTCTAGAAATTTTTATTAAGAGCAGAGAAACTTTTTCACTTATGATATTGTATTTTGAATATCTAATACTGTTGTATCAATTCAAGTTTAAAAAAGCACATTAATATTCTTCTAATGTTTGCATATACAAATGAGCATTTTAAACCAGTTTTAAACAGCTATTTTTAGATTATTTTACTACACAAATAGAAAAAATTTTATTACATTTATTTAAATGTAAAGTATAAGCAACATTTGGTTTTAAACTCTGCATATAAAATGACTATTTATCTAATCGTGCATCCTCAATTTATGTAACTAGCATATAAGTGAAAGTAAAATTTATTATAATAAAATATGATATAAATCTTTGTAAAAGGAGACTTCTTTGTATCATATATAATTTGATAATAATTGACAAGAAACTATAGCTTAAGAACATAATACTGGAAATGGCCTGGTCTAAACATTCACTTTAACATTAGTTATGATGATTGATACAAGAATTTATATTTTAGAAAAATTTAGAATTAAAAGTGCATTTTTCAGTAATATTTATACATAAACATTTATAAATTTTGCATTATTATTATTTCTATATTCGCTAAAAATGTAATTAAGAATTCATGGATTGTCTTAAATTTTCTTAAGTTATACATTTTGTATGTTTCTTTTTATATTTATTGTCAGTAATCTAAAAGGTAAATTAAATTAAAATTAGATTATTGAAGTTGTGTAAATAATTTAAATTGAAAGTAAAACTGTTTTGAATTTTGTTTTATCATTTTAGGGCTGCCCATCATGGACATGGTTTTTCCCATATCATTATGCTCCATTTGCTTCTGATTTCATAAATATTGGTGATGAAAGTATTATTTTCCCGAAGAATACTAAACCTGTAAGTTAATTATATATTTAATTTGTAAAACATTAATACTGTGTAATATTGCTTATATACTGTGTGCTTATACACATTTAATTAGTTATTCAATAATATTGTAGAAATAATATGCTATATCATACTCTGAAAATGTGCAATCTCTTTTTTCTGTAAAATGTATATAATGCTATCTTATATAATACTAGTAGACCCCACCACACGTTATTATGGCTCAAAATGTATCTATTATAAATTTATAACACTTCCCCCGTGGGGGGAATTTTTCAAAAAATTTCTTTTTAGTGTGCATTCTCTTGACGTACCCTATTAAAACACAATCAAAAATGCAAAAACCCACATCTAAAATAGTATAATAGAAGCCAAGTTCTTCATGGTAAGCCTTAATCCTGTCTCTCTCCCCCTACGGGGGAATATCGAAAAATTTCTTGTTAGTGTACATTCTGTTGACGTACCCTATTAAAATGCAATCAAAAACACAAAAACCCCCATCTAAAATAGTATAAATAGAAGCAGAGTTCTTTACCGTAAGCCTTAATCCTAACCATCTCCCTTCAGTGGGGTTGAATTTCAACATGTATATTATATAAAAACACGTGCACCTTTGAATGCAGCGTTGTGTCAAAATTTCAAAGGAATCGGTAGGAACAAACGAACATTACATTTTTATTTATATAAATAGATAGAAGATGATCTGCTTTAGTTCATTTTCACAGAAAAGCAAACTTAGGTCGTCGTACTCGTAGCGCCATCTGTTGGACATAAAAGCCTTAACCATAGATGATATCATTTAATTTATATGAATGTTTAACGGAGTAATATACAGCCTATATCCACCCTGAAGTTCTATTCTAAATATTGGTGAAAGAATTTTTGAAATCGGATGAGTAGTTTCGTAGATTACCTGCTACATCCAAACTTACTTACATACTTACTTATAAACATTACCTCTTTATAATATTAGTATAGATAATATATTCTATACCTATTTTCAAATCAAATCAAATCATTTATTAGCATATTTAGGAATTAATCCTGTTACAAAGGGAACTCTAAATAAAGTCACAATAAATATAAAGAAATTCATAAATTAAAATTTGACTCTCTGAAAATAAATACAGTAAAGCATCGTTTATCCGAATCAATTGGGGACTGGGGTTGTTCAAATAACTGATTATATACAAAAAATATATTAACCAATCCCATGTTGAAATTTTTCTCCTTTGCGTGTCGCTTTGCATTGAATTTTTGTCTATGTTAAGCCTAATGTAAACTTTTTAAAATAATAATTGTGGCTATTGTTTAAAAATTTTTATTAAAAATTATTTCTTTATTTTTTACAAACAAAATAAATATATTGAAAAATATAAAAACAAAAAAATTATACTTTAGAAGTTAATCTAGTATCAAAAATGTTCAATTCAGCATGACACACAGTCCTCAGAAAAACACCATACAAAAGGGCCAGTGCTGCCAGCTAAAACACACACATCAACAAAAAAAAATATTGAAGTAGCCCAAGATATTGCCAAAGATTGCAGCGCCACAGCGCTAGTGAAAATTTAAATTTGCCGACTGGAATTCTTTCGGATAAATGATGCTCTACTGTATAAACTTTCCCTATTATATAAAGGGTAATTAACAACTGCCAAACAGACCATATCATTGGTTTCTTTGCTAATTTTCTTGGAGGGTAGAATATTTGGTGAAGAAATTATATAATCTTACTATGATAATAGGATTCATTTAAAATAAATCTCTGTAAAATTCTTCCTTCAATTTACAGTATGACAATTTAGAAATTCCAAGTTTGTATTCTAAGCAAATTTGGGTCTAAAATTTTTGATGTATGACTTTTGAAATAGGGATGTAGATAAAAGTGAAATTTCTTCTTTACATCCAAGTACAATTTAATAATAATTAAAATAACATTTAACATACATTAAATTATATAAAAGTAAATTTAATAAAAAATAAATGAAATAGAACCTGTTTACTGCAAAAATTTTTTATAGATGTGTGTTTTAAATTGTAAATGTTGTTATTTGAAATAAATTTTTGATTTTTTTATATAAAGATAATATTTCTTGAGCTTTCATTGCTTCATTAAATGAAATTTTTGATGTGAGTTCTGATTTATCTTTATCCATTTGATTAACAGAAAGTTTTATTTCTTTATTTAAATTTTTTGAATCTTAATTTGTATCTTTTACAATTAGTTTGTCAGTAATAGCATAATTCTGTTGAAAACTCATACCTGAGCTTTTTCAGTTAATAATGATATATGCTTCTAATTTTTTTCCATATCTGCAATATAGTAGCATAATGATGTTATAATGAAAATAGCTAAAATTGTATATAGTCACACTAACACAACAATTTCAATCTTAGAAACAAAACCAAATCTGATACGTATAGTGTTAACTGCTTCATCAAGTGACTTCATATAACATTGTATGGTATAGGTGGAGCTAGCAAATTACTGTGATTTTAGACATTACAATAGTATGATTTTAGTATTAATGGTTTCTACAGGACTCAAATTGGGATCAATTATTATGAGAGGGTCTGACTTTACAAAGGATGGTTGACCTTAAGCAGGTCTGACTGTGCTAGTTAAACAAACTGATATCAATATATTAAATAGAAAATCTAGTTATTGATAGCAATAATAACTAAACCTTTTGCATTTATCAAATTAATATAAGTTTCATTTATATATTTGTATTAATTAGACAGATAATTCTCTTAAAAACTACTATTTTAAGTAAATTATTTTCTGTTCATAAATTGTGTAATTTATAAAACCTTACATTTATTTTAATGCATTGATTTTTTTAATTCTATTTATTTTAATTTTGTGTTTTATATGTGGTTTTTTTTTCTTCAAATTTTAGTTCAGACCTTTGGAACAACTAATGGCTGTATTTCCAGCTGCAAGTAGACAACATATTCCAGAACCCTGGGCAGAACTTATGATTGATCCTGTATTTATAAATTACTTTATATACAAGTTTTGCAATTTTATTTCTTAATAATTTGATTATGAATTTTTCGGAATATAGGAAAGTCCTATCATTGATTTTTATCCAGAAGACTTTAGTGTTGACTTAAATGGGAAAAAATTTGCATGGCAAGGTAAACAAACTTTTATTTTTTTAAGTTTTATTATAGAGTTGTGGGTTTGAGTCTCACTGTGGGCTGATTTTTATTTTCAAAATATTCTAGATTTAAATAAAGTTAAATTTATTTCTAATTATTAAATTTATCATTAGATGGCAGTCTAACTGCCTATCTTCAGCCAAATTGCTTTACATTGAATCATTAAATTAGCCTTGTTATAGCCTGATTAATAATCTGACAGTTTATTTGGCATTAATCAAATATTTAATTTTTCATTTATAAGTTTTTTATTGTCAATAAAAATAGTAACTTATTTTTTACAAGAATTTAAAATTTAGCTATTTTAATAGTTTGAAATGGTTAATGCTAAAGTGGATCTGTTAATGTTTAAAATAGGTCAGTTTTCAGATTTATGTATGACTTATTAATATAAATAAGGACATGCCAAGAGTGTAATAAAATAATTGGTTTTTATTTTGGCAATTTAATATTTGATTGAAAAACTCACACAGACATTTCAAATCTAATATCTTCATTCTGGCTATCATCTAGGCTGGACTACAATTCCCTATTCTTTATTCCACATGCTGTCTTCATTACTTAGATGATGATTTTTTTTTTCCTCAGTTTGAAAATTTTAAATTTACATTACTATCCTTTTTACAGTTTTATTAAAATAATTGTTGTTGAAGCATCTATTATATATTGAACATTAAATATATTTAAATGTTTCTTTAACAGTTCCCAATTATAGTTGCGTTATTTTATGATTGCCATTCATTTCATAATTTGTGTTTTAATAAAAAAAATTTTCACAGTTTATTACAATATTACTATTGCCAGTTATTAAAACTATTGTTTTTGTCTATATTTTATTATTTTTTTCTTTTAATATTATCAAGAAGTCAGTTGTGATTGTTACAATATGTTGTCATTATTTCATAAGTTCTTTTTCATTTAAAATAATCTTTTTGAAGTCTTGTAATATTATTATATAAGAGTAGTAATCCTGATATTATAAGAGTATGAAGTATGATTTTTTGAAATTTGTTGAATTTGATAGAAATTAAAAACTATTTTAGTAAGTATTTTTTGCTTTAAATTTTTATATGAAAAATTCAATAAAGTCGACCCCCTATAACGAGTCACTTAGATTTTACAAATATGTGTGCCAGTCTGTGAACGGCTCACGTATTTGTAAAATCAAAGTGACTTGTACAACATGGAATTCATAAAAAACAGAATAATCAACAGTGTTATAGGGGGGTCGACTGTACATACTTTCTTCAAAAAGCAAATAATAGTTGAGAAAATATAATAATTGTTAATAAACATGCCAATTTATTAAAATTATAGAAGTCAATAAAAAGTGTGAAAAATGAATTTTGTATTTACCGGAAATCATTTTTTGAATGAATTTTTTTTTTTATAGAAGATTTAATTGATAGCAAGCCTACAAAGTAATTAAGGGTGTACTGGGAATAGGAATTTATATGCAACAGATGTATATTTCTTTCCTGATAGTTATGAGATCAAGATATACACTTAAAGCAGGAAATAATGATTCCATAATTATATGATTACATCAAAAATGGGTTCAAATATGGAAGTCCATATTTTATTACAAGAAACATTTTCCAAACTTTTGATTGATCATTAACTGCTCAAGACAATTCTGGATGATTTGAAAACATTTCTAGTAATAAAAAGTATGGACTTCTATGAGTAATTTTTTTTTTTAATGAAATTCTTTGAGATAAATTTTGTTTGTTATTAATCATAATTTTAATTGAAATTAGACAGATTTTATATTGGAAAGGTAGTGATGGTAATATCTTTAAAATAGTTTACTTACGAATAATAATTGACTCCCATTTTTTATCAGTAATTTTATGTAAATCTGAAGACTTAAAGGTAGCAATTAGTGATGAAAACAAACAAAGAATGCTAGGAAAATCCAGCGGCAACATTGCCAGTATTTTAAATTTAGTTACAGATTAAAATAATTCCAAGCTAATTTGTGAAAATTTAAGATTTGTTTGAAACTTGTTTATATTTCAAACAAGTTTTCAATTTTTCAACTTTAATGCAATGTTTTTTGTGTAAAGACATGATATGAAGAATATAAATGAATAGGATTAATTTTAATAATTCTATTGAGTGATTAACAAAAAGTTTATTTTGAAGCGATACAAAACTGTAAAATAATAAAATTTATTTTGAAGAGAATGAATCTCTAATAGTTTATTATATCTGGACTATAGACAGTTAATAAATATATATCTTGTTTGTGCCATTGCTCTTTGATATATTTGTCCACTTTTTCTGTTATTTTGATTGATTTATTGATGCTATGACATAAATGTTCACAAAAACATTTGAATGCAAGCAAAAGTGGAGTTATGGGATCTGATATATTCAGACCAGACCACCAAGAAAAGTTTTCGAGGATCTACAGTAATTAGATCTGAAGATGTCCCCTGAAAAGCAGACAGATACTTTAGTCTCATCAGCCATGAAGAGTTGTCATATTTCTATGCTCTTATGAGGATATCAGATTGGCTAAAGTGGCCAGAGCATAAAGTGGCCAGAGCATTAAAAAGTGAAGAATGCTGCTATGCAAAAAAAAAATAGTGAAATACACATTCCTCTATGCCTTATTATGTGTCAGCTTTTTTTATTTAATATTAGTTATTTTTTCTCTGTTTCTAGCAACTCTGTTTAGGGTTATCAAGAGCTTATATGGGACCAGGGATAGGCCAGGTCTTTTTGCCTCAAACAAGTCTCTTTAGCCTTTTTGTTTTTTGAGCAAATGAAATTTTTTAGAATGTTTCTTTATCAATAAAAAACAGGCTTAAACATTTTATTTTCATTAGTAAAAAAATGTTACTTTATAGGGATAGTAATCACTTTGGGCCCTAAATTTCCTCCCGGCCTAGGGAAAAATTTCCAGCTCCTCAATGTCTTAACAACCCCGGCTGTAGTGTTACCACCTGTCCGATTTTCGCCCGGACAGTCTGCGGAATTGACTCACTGTCCAGGTGAACTATTAATTTNTTATCCTTTCAGTCCTTCACCTGAGTTACTTAATAATTAATACTGGCAATAACAGGAAAAAATGTATCAACTAATTTATGAATATATTAAATTATTCAATTCATTTTAATTCCGATCTGTGAAAAAAAATAGTATTTATTTTTTGTCAGCATTGACAGAGAGAGTTGCATCAGAATGCAAAGAATTACATACAAACCAATATAATTCTACTATATTTTTTCCGTAATATAGAATTGATATTATGAAAAAAATAATAATCTAAAAAATAAATGCTGAATAATAACACCCAGATTTATATGTTAATTTTAAAATATGTAGTAAAAAAGTATGATATAAGTTTCAGAAAAAGAATTTATTATTATCATCATCATCATCATCACCATCTGTTGTAGGACCTAGAAGTTTGACAATGGAGTTTGGAACGTCAGTGGAATTATGCTCAACATTCCAAACTCCATTGTCAAACTTCTAGGCTTACAGGATGGTGGCGGTGAACATCCAATGTTCACGTTTTTGCACTGAAATGGCAACCACAACCTCGCTAATATTACACCTAAATCCTTCAAAATAGTTAATTTTGTTTCTTATTTTGAAGAAGGTTTTTATGAAAAAACATTGATTGCTACTTTTTCCTTCAAATAAATCTTCACATTTCCATTATCTTGAATTTAGATATGAAAAAGTTTATAATCCTAATCCAGAACAAAGAATTCAGGAAGAGGAAGCTATCCAGACACAGTAGGCCACTCATATTCTTATGCTGCTTTGTCAATTACATCATTTTCAAATCATCATATACTTTTAGTTTTTATCAATAAATTATTATTTAATTTTGAGCTTTTATTGATATCTAAATTGATAGATAAATAAGTGTATTCAATATACATATTTTTCCACTTGTAGTAAAAGTTCTGTGTTGGAATTCTCTTGTATTTAATTGAAACTTACATGAAAAGGAATCTTTCAGCATTATAATTGTATCAGCAGAAATTTATTAAATATAAAAACTCTGAATAAATTATTGCACAAGATTTGTTATAAAAAATTCAAATATGAAGAAATACTTTAACTCAAACTTTGATTGGTAATTTAACTTTCTAAATCTGTCTGACTGTTAGTAACTGTTGTAATTATAGCTTTATGTCACAAAGCAATATGCTTGCTAACTTATATATACAGACGTGCAGACAACTTTTCATATAGCTGCAATAAGATACTGTGCTGGAAGGTAGTTTCTCCAGATGTGAAGTACTTTATTTCATTTATAAAACTATTACTTTCTTTCCTATGTGTGCTACAGATTCTAATCTTACAATTCTTTTAGCATTGTAAGATTACTTGTAAGTTTATATAACTTTTAGTTTTTACCCATTTGAGTAAGAATTTTCCTATTGGTAAGATTTTGTTTTTGTTGCTCTAAGAGAGCAACAAAACTTTATATACAGATCTCACACTTTAACAGTAATTACTAATCAGTTGCTCTACTGCTGCTGATATTCCATAAAAATGAGAAGTATGGAAAAATATGTTACATAAAATTAGCATAAATCATTTCAGAAATTGATGGGAAAAACAATTATCAAAGTTAGACTTTTCTATATATCAGCAAGAAAAACATAACATATAAATCCAGGACATACTCATTAATATCAAAAGTTTTGTGTTTATTAATATTTTCACATAAATAAACAATTTATTTCAGAAGTATTCAACAGTAGTAGAACATGAGGAAAGGAACTAAACTTGTGAATATTTTTGAGACAATTATTTGCCAGACCTTAATTTTATATACTTAACTCAAAAAAAAAAAAAAACTTTAAGTTAACAAAGAATTTATTTTCAGTTTGTGTTTTTATTGATTTTTACAAAAGTTATTGTCAGAAAAATTCAGAAAGTGACTTTTGGCTCATCCTGTAAATATAAGTGTAATACAAAAACATAGCACAATAGCATTAATTAATAAAATTAATTTTTAAAATATTTAACTAAAAATTATTTATTATATAAATTTTTGTAGAAAGAAGAAATACTCAAGGTGATGATGTTATATATGCCAGTAAAGATCACTTAGGTTATGATTATATGAAAGGTTTTTATGAGTGTGAAAATTATGAAACAGTAAGTCACGTTGTTTTACTGTCATTTAAATTTTTTGTTATAAATAATGACTAATTCAAACATGCATTTATTTAAAAATACTAATTTATTTTAATTTGTTCTGTATTAATAAATTTAAATAATAAGTTTTATAGATATGTTTTCTTAAAATTGTTAAATTTAAAAAGTTTCTACATATGTATATGTGTCTCTTTGAACAATAAGTAACAATAATAGCTTGCTATTAATTGGCATTAGAAGGAGTGTATAGAATGTTACGTTTTAGCTACCTTTGATACACCAGCTGTCTAAAGTATTTATTGGATTGGAAAAATAATGTTTCAGGACTGGATGGGAAAGTGTCAAAAGAAAAATATAACTATTAAAGTGTAAATATTTGTTTTTCTAGTTATTGTATTATCTCAGCCATTGAAATTGTAAAGCAATGGCCAATTTACTGTATTTTAATTCAGTACACATATATATTTTTCCAGTAATATCTTGAAAAGTCCTGTGATAGCTGCTAAACTAAAATTTAGATTAGGATAGTTACTGTATTATTACAGATGCAGATTATTATTTTTGTTTGATGTAAATTTTAAAATTGTGAAGTACAGGAAACCCAGTTATTGCAGTTTCAATTAATGCAGTTTTTGAGTTGTTATGATTAGTGATTTGATTCTAAAATTCCAGTTTTGCTTTAAAATTTGAGTTATTGCAGTTTTTTTGCACCAAATGAATGTTTTCATTTAGTTTTTTTTTAGCTCAAAATATGAAATTTTGTTTAATCATTTTTTAACAGTTTCACAGTGTGATACATTTTGACATTAAGTCCAATTTGTTTTTTACTTAAGGCCTGCAGAACTCAAAAATCATTTTTTGCAGGCATTCCAATACAGCAAAAGGTTTCAACAATGCATATTTGTGATACATTGAGATTTATCATGAGTTCTTGAGTAGTTACTCGATTTTTTGTGATTTCTTCCTGTACATTTCTTCATTAACAGTTTTTTGAAACATACTGGGTGAGCATCCAGACATTTTTGGATCACTTTGTTTGAACTAAGCAATTCAAAAAATTAATTTCCTGATTGAGTAAATTTAAAAAGTGTGCAATTCATTTAATCTTGAATTTATAATTTTGTTAATTTTAGATAATGCTCCTGGTCACCCTACAAAATCTAATGATTTGATTCAAAATATTGGTCATTTTTTCACTGTGTGATATGACTTCATTATTCCAGCTTATGGACCACAGTAATGCATATAAATACATATAAAGTGTACTTCCTACATAAAACATTTCACCAGTCAATTGAAAAGACAACAGGAGAAAAATCTTTGTTAGAGTTTTAGGAAAATTTTAGAATAATAAATGTTCTTGAAAACATTGATGAAATGGAAAAGAAATTGTTATAACTAACATGAGAGTTGTTTGGCAAAAATTTATTTCTGAATGTGCAAATGATTTCCAATGAATTTGACTCCAGAACTAACAGTATTGAAGAAGAAATTATGCAACTTGTATTGGATTTAGAATTAACTAAAATAGATTAGGAAGATATTCAAGAATTGTTCAAGTTCCATGATGATGACCTTATTGCAATTCTTACTACTATGAGGATAATTTTGGGATACATACATTATTCTTCAAATTACAATAAATATAAATATTATATTTGATATAATTTGATTTCATTAAGCATACACTGTAATTTCAATTTATATACCATAAATTGGGAGATAGAATTTTAAATATTAACTATATCTATATCTATAGTTTTTATAATAGTTAATAGGTTTTAAAAATAAAATCTTAAATATATTTTTATAGGAATATGACTTATCACCTCAGTTATTTCAAGGAATGAGTGGAAAAATTTTATTATTTGAAAAAGCTGTTGGACCTGGAGAGTAAGTTTGAATTTAAAAATAATTTATATGTAAATTATACACTAAAGTTGAGTCATTACACTATTTAAAGATACTACAAATATCTTACAATAGAAAACAGATATGCATTAGCAATACACTAATTACTAGCAAAAAAAATAGAAAGTTAATTAATTAATGATTGGTAAATATAATTAATAGAAAGTTATTTCAAATTATTGAAATAGTAACTTGTCACTGTATGATAACATATTTTAAAGCATTTGCCTAGACATATATGACCAGAAGTTGTGATGTACTTCCAGTCAGTATTATCATGATACTGGAGCTGCCATTACAATTAATATTCTTTATTGATACAATACAATATCTAGCATGAAAAACATTCTATAATTACAGAATGTTTTTCATGCTAGATAGTATACAGTATCGATAAAGGATTCTAATTAAGTACAATACCAAGTATACAACTTGATTTAAATTTTCTTGAAGTCTTTTGTCTTGGAACAGTAGAAATGATTAACTTGCAAAACAGTTTCTTAAGCAAATATTCCATGACCTACATTATATATTGTAGGCATCAAATAATTGTTATATACTGTATTATATATTTGGAACTGTAAGTTTACATTTCATCTTCCCTTCTACATAACAACAAATATACACTTTACATTTTATCATATCTTTCATTATAAGTAATTATAATTCATTATAAAATTATCTAGAAAATTGTATTTTAATGTTATATACATTTATCTTTAATTTATTCTTTGTAAACATTCCCTTCTCATCTAATGTAATTAGTATAATACAGTTGAACTTCAAAGTTCTATACAGTCAACCCCCCTATAATGCGGTAGATACGTTCCACTTTATAAGAATTTCACATTGTAGGAATCCTTAAATACATGAGCCAATCACAGCCTGGCATGTGTGCAGTTTATGGACTACAGCTGTTTGAAACGTTTTCTTCCATAAAACTAATCAATTCTAGACTAATTTGACTCAACATTTCCAAAACACATATAATTTTTTGGGAATAATCCATATAAACTATGCTATAAACAAAAAATTGTAGAATTACTTACCGAGTGTGCACCATTTGACGATGCCATTGCTTAAGCTTGTTTTCACCGCGGAGCAGCGCACCAAATGGCGGGCGAGTTTTCTGATAAGTTATTTTTCTGTGAAAAATTTGTTGAACTTTGGAGACATCATTAATAGAAGTAATTTTTATGGCCATTGAATAAGAAATGTTTTTTCACAAGAAATGTATAAAATTACAGTACTGTATTAGACTTACAGTACCTAATATATACTGTACAGACGATAGTAAACTCAACTTACCCGCCTAAACTCTCTGTAGCGTGTAAGTAGTTCAGCTGCTCGTCCACTATTGGTCCAGATTCGACCAATCCTGTTAGCGATGATGTTTTACCGCATTTTATGAGTCTCTTTTAGCATCTTTATACGAATACAATCGCAATTTTTTCGCCATGATATACAAATTTGCATTATATGAACCTGCGTTATAGGGGGTCAACTGTATTATAATTTTTTTTTAATGAATGTTTCTATGGAACATTGAAAATATGTCTTTTTTACATTTAAATGTATGTCTAGCTAATGAAGTTTAATTTTTATATAACAAATATTTTAAAGCTAAGACTATAATTAAATTTACTTGTATTTTAGAATCTTGAGAAAAAAAATGACATTTTAATATATTTCAGTACTGTATATTCCCCAATTAAAAATGTAGTGGATATCCCTAATAATATGGTTCTAAGGTAAGAATAATTCTATTCTTATAAAGAAAAACTTACAATAATATAGTAAAATTATAATTTCTTTATTTCTTTGTATTTGTTGTAGCATGAGATTTAGAAATCCACTTTATGAAGAGGATTATATTTTCAAATCAGTGTTGTTACCAAATGCTAAGTATGTATTAAAATTAAATTTATCATATTATAATATATTGTATATTATTTTATACATTGTAATATTTCATTTGCATTTTTATTTAGAATACCACCACCCACCTTAAAACCAGAAGATTTTGAACGTAATCGAGAATGGAGACCTCAGATAGGCATGTCACCTGCAAATCAGAGAGCATCGCTTGATATATCAGGAAGAAAAGCCTTAAAGTAATTATTTTACTTCATTTGTTTATTTTTATTTGTAAATATTCACTTTCATTATTCTATTAAAATCATAACAATTATGGTAAATTCTTTAATAGGTTTGCATTTATAATGTTGTTATGATAAATAGTTTAACATTGAATATCAATACCTCCTATCCTAATACGGTACTTAAAATGTCGTAAAAGCATTGAAGTGAAGGTAGTGTTACTATAAAATGTCAAATTTCATATGGAATAAAAATCAATTTTAAAAAGTAAAAGAACTTTACTGTGAATTGCAAATTAGATTTTTTTTAAAATGAAGACGTTATATTAAGAAAGTATAATTTTTAATTATTTTGTTAGTCTGAAAATTTTATTTAGTAAATTTTATTTAAAACTTAAAATTACAATTCTGTCTTCATTTAAATTATTAACAGGAATTATTTTTAATTAATATGCATTGTAGATATTCAATGTTTAATTCAAGGCTCAAACTCGTTTTATGTTTAATTCGAGGCTCAAAAACCGGTTTTTTTAATTGGGAAAACCTGGCTTTCAAATTATATAAATTTCTCCAAAAAACTGGTTTTTCAAAACCGGATTTTAAAAACTGACAAATCCTAGTGACCTGCATGTACTGTACTCTCTCCCAAATGGATGATGATCGGTTAACATATATATTTAGATTGTATGACTCGTTCACTGTTAGCAGCCAATTCCAACACTTCTCATACATATGTAACTTAAGTCTGTATGAAACTTTATATTCAAATTACTTTGTTTTCTTCTATGGAAAAAATTACTTAATTGTGTCAATACCAAAGTTGCCATCCCAGGAAAAGCAAATGGGCTGACAGGCTAAGCTAAAAGGGCTGACGAGTGAAAGTTATCTTACTCGCATAATATTTGGGTCAATATAGTATAAATATATAAGTACTTACAATATGATGAAGGCACAGAACTTTATTAAAAAGTAGAGATGCCAAAGAAAACTGTCTATTTATACTGTTTTTAAAACCATCATTAGTCAACTGGCTTTTGTTTTTCAAATCAATCACAGCAAGAAATTTAAGATTTTGGGAAGGATTAATTTTTGAATTCAAATTCAAAAGTGTTTACAAGTGAAATTTGCCAGCCAATCAAAAACATAATTTCAATTTCTGAAGATTACTTCAGAAGTTGAATTGGAAAATCAGTTAGAAATCATTTAACTGTCAATACTGAAATCAAACTTAAGAATTTCATTTGTAATTTTGTGCAAACACTTGAAAAAAGGCAGAAAATGGTGCTAATTGAGGGAAATGATGAAAAGGAGGAAAGGTTAGAAAAGAGTGTAAAATAGGGGTTAAAAATTTGGTTTAAATGGTTGGGAGGTCTTATCCTGATGATTGGTTAATTTTGGAGGGACATTATCCCCCAAAATAAGACCTGCATTAAAACTAGTGCAGCCAAGATTTATAAGCTTAATGATTACATATTCATTTATTAAAAGCAGTTTTACTTCATCCTGTTTGTTTTCTTCTTAGTAACTATCTTAACTAACTATTATTTTCTTATTATTAAATAAAGAAATGCATAACTTATATGTTTGCTTTCTTATGTTATACTCACTTCTTTCATCTAGTATTAGGTTTTTTGTATTGACAAATAACTTAATCAATGCTTTCATTTATTTCATATTAATTAATTTAGAATTATTGGTTGATAGTAAATAACTGTTCTATAGAAGTTTAATATATGTGAATAATTTTGGTAAAATGATTGGATTAATAAGATATAAATTTTCACTTAAAAAAAAAACAATGGAAAAGCTTGTCCCAATTTACAAGAAGTTTTCTGGAACAACATATGCCCATAAATTGGGATTATACTATTTTATTGAATTCCTGAAGTTTTTCATGAAAGGTTACATTTTATATTACAACTCGTTTATAATAAATTGATTTAAAAATATATTTTATTGAAAGTACCATTATTGGTAAAAAATGCATTTATTGGGGATTTGTGGATCTTTGGGATGTTGGAGCATATTCCATAGCTGTTGTCTAATCTCTGACAATATTTTTATGCTACCTTTTTTAGTGATGGCTATTGTCTTTGACTTGTCATTTAAATAAGTGTTTATGAAATTTTCCTAACAATGGAAAACTTAGTTTTTGTGAATGATTTTTTGTTTGTTTGTTTACATTTATTTTTGAATTGTAATAAATTATGTAAAAAAAATAACATAGTTTCAAATCAGTGTTGTTACCAAATGCTAAGTATGTATTAAAATTAAATTTATCATATTATAATATATTGTATATTATTTTATACATTGTAATATTTCATTTGCATTTTTATTTAGAATACCACCACCCACCTTAAAACCAGAAGATTTTGAACGTAATCGAGAATGGAGACCTCAGATAGGCATGTCACCTGCAAATCAGAGAGCATCGCTTGATATATCAGGAAGAAAAGCCTTAAAGTAATTATTTTACTTCATTTGTTTATTTTTATTTGTAAATATTCACTTTCATTATTCTATTAAAATCATAACAATTATGGTAAATTCTTTAATAGGTTTGCATTTATAATGTTGTTATGATAAATAGTTTAACATTGAATATCAATACCTCCTATCCTAATACGGTACTTAAAATGTCGTAAAAGCATTGAAGTGAAGGTAGTGTTACTATAAAATGTCAAATTTCATATGGAATAAAAATCAATTTTAAAAAGTAAAAGAACTTTACTGTGAATTGCAAATTAGATTTTTTTTAAAATGAAGACGTTATATTAAGAAAGTATAATTTTTAATTATTTTGTTAGTCTGAAAATTTTANCTCTTATCTTTGTTTTTATATCTTAATTTTGTCATCTCTTCCAATTTTAAAAGAACTTGGAGTTTGCTAGGTAATGATTATGAATTCATCAAACATTTTGCTTGTTTTTTCTTATGATACAACAAAGAAAAATTACTGTTATTCAGAATATACTTTTAGACTTAAAAAATAAATTTTATTTGGCTAATAATTTTTTTCATTATATATCATAATACAATTTTTTTTAATATGTTAACTTTGACAATAAAAATAATTTTTATTTTCTATTGATCCTTTTGATCTTGTTAATTCTTGTCATTGATTTACTGTTTTTTTTTAATTGAAATTTTAAATATTTAGATACTCAGATGACTTTCATATGACTTGTTTAATTTAAATTATTTTGTAAATTAAAAATTATTAAATAATAATACAGGTTGGCCAATGATCGGTTTTCAACATCTGATGGTCTGGCATATGTTTTATTCAGACAGAATTATATGAGATCACTTAAAAGCTCTGTTGGTCTGGTAAAACTGTTAATTTGGCAAGGCTTTTGAATTAAGAGTACAGTAAACCATCAATAACTCAAACTAATAGGGAGTGAAAGTTATCCAAGTTTGTGATAGATCGAGTTAAGGGAGTTTTCTCTTTGATGACGTGAAAAAAGATGAATATATACACAGTACAGTAATTTATTAAAATCAACTCTATACAGTTTTACTGAGTGATAGTAGGTTATACTTCTGAATTTAATATTAGTGAAAATGAGCTAAAAAATTTCATAACAGTTTAGTATCAGCAATATACAGTCTTTAGTGATTTACTGACTATAAAAATATAATGCCTGATATCCTAAAGACTTCCAGATATTGAAAAACTTCTGTTAATTATAATTTTTCTATTGTCAAGAAATTTTAAATTACTGTATGATTTTTCAAAAAAAATTCATCCATGTTAGTGGGGAGTTACTGTATTTGAAAATTGGTGATCATTCTGTATTTCGAAAATTTTGTAAAGTCTTACTGGTCCCTCAAAATATGTTTTCTTCAACATTTTTTGATTGTTTTAAAGTAGTGTGTTATTTATTTAAACAGCCATTGATGTACTTGAAACAAGCAGGAAAAGATAATATTTTGCTAAAATAAGATATATAGGAAGATTTTATTGTGGTGATTAGTTTTAAAATAAAGGTTTTGATGTAAAAATAGATAATGTGAAAAATATTTGTATTGAAATATTTCTAAAATTTTAGTGAGAAATCTTTATTTATAAAGTTGTATGAAATCATCATTAAAATTAAGATTTCTTCATCTGATAATGAGAATTAACCTGATAAGATGTTATTTTCTTAATATTTCTTCTTCCTTTTATTTTCAATAAATAAAAGGTTAAATATTTTATTTATTTTCAATAAATAAAATATTTAACCTTGGCTTCATTATTATATCAAAGATTAGGATTTTAAATACAAATAACATTTTTAACTTTTGATGTGTTTAGAAGCTCTTATAGAGATTCTAGTAAAAAAATAAATTTGTTTTAAAAATTTTAAATAAATGTTGATTATTTTTGATAATTTTTATTTATTTTTTATTTATTCTTTAGTTGGCATTTACCAAAAGGTGGAGCACAGTTTTATAATGCAGTACCTCCCTCATATGATTCTCGATCACAAGGAAGGAATCAGTATCGAAATAATTCTAGATCTCATTATCATTCTTCTTATTATGAAGAAGAAAGAAATATGTATAATAGTTATAATGCAAGTAAGTATCTAATGTAATTTTTTTTTTATGTTCTAAGATTTTAATCTTTATTATAATATGAAAAAATCTAAATTTCATATTTTTTAATTGGGAATATAATGGTGGTGATATGATATGTAAAAACTAACAAAAGCATNTTCCAATATCCTGCTTGTCTACATTACATCTCCTGTATCGATTAAGTTGACAATTTTGTCGACCTAACGATACAGCGATAGGCTCTTCTTGATGAGAATCGGTATATTATAATAATATAATTGTTATGTATTATTTTAAAATCTATATATACAGTAATTAATAAGAGATGTCCATAAATTATATAATGAAGATGTGGATGGGTGTGCAGGTAATTGTTACAATATGTTATAAAGATTGATGGTGTTTACAAAAACATTATATAATGCTAGGGTCTTGACATTGGCTAACAAAATGATTTAATTTTGTTACTGAAGAGTTGCATAGCAAACTAATATTTATGCCACTAATTTATGTTATATGTGTAATTAATAATATAACATTCAGTATCCACATACTGTGTATTATTCCTTAGTACAGTTAAAAGGGTTGTTTGAGGATATGTGTTGTTTAATTTTTAGAGAGGGGTATGTGTGACAGTATTATGGAGCATTACAAGGGTGTGGAATGGTAGTTGAAAAGTATAAAAATAGTTTTATGTACTTTATGGATGATCCCAGATATTGAAAGAACTGTTTTTTAAGCTAAAACATCTTCAATATATAATAGCAGTTTGAATAAATATATGTGAAAATTGTCATTATTTATAATAATAGAACAAAGACAAATTTTAAATTTTCTTTTGGGGTAAAAAAAAATGCATTTTAAACATAATCTTTAAACAATGATAAAATCTGGAATGACAACTATCAGGTTTTTGAAAAAGCATTTTGATTTCAAAATTAAAAATGATGTTGATAGTGCTCTTTGTAAGCAGAGGAAGTATTATGAAGACTTTATTCTGCTCAATCAGATAATAAATAAGGAAGATGATACATTTTTTTTTTAATTACCTGATGAAATAATTCACTAAATAAATTCTTAGTTTCAGAAAAAATAAATTAATTCTTGCTGTTTTAGAATGTTCATTCTTATTCAACATTAGTAATTATGATTTTGGCAGAGCACATGATTACAAAGCTAAATTCTCATTTTTATTTCTCTAATTTATATTCTTCAGACTGTTTCCTATTTGAAACCAAGTCAAAGAGAGTGTTTTAAAGATAAAAAAGATATTGTGTGCAATGTGAATTGATGGTAATAAATTGAAATTAATTTAAAATATTTCTGTGACCGAAGGGTCGGCTCCTCCTCGATGCCTTGTCAGGATGACACCGCCGTGTCTTGTTCACACGAGCGGTCACGTAAAGGAGCGATCAGATTCTGGATGGAGGGAGTGAGAGATAGCACACTGGAAGTTATTCTTTCAGAAACTAGATTAACATAACAATTGTTTAATGGGAAACACTAGGAAATACATATCTCACAATATGTCAATAGATTCGATAGTAAGGTTTTAATGACCTTTCTTGAGAGAGAGAGCTTACAATAGTTCACGTGGCAATAAATACCTGGAGTTTGCTTAATTCTTGTATTGCTGATAATTGATAATCAAGTTCTTGACTTAATCCAAAGTTCTGGCGACGACGTTAATTCAAGTTTCTTTGGCACTTAATAAATCCTGTTGCAAATAATCCCAATAGGAGGCATGTAATAGGTTCTATTGCAAATAATCCAAATAGGAGGCATGAAAAAAGTTTGGTTGTGATCTGATGACTTCTATCCAGAGGAACGGTGGTGACTGTGTCGAAAATCTGTCTGTAGCTATATTCATTTGACAACTTTGCAATAATAGGTCGGAAGGTTATGTGAAAGCATCTTTTAGCAACTGAGAACTTGCTGAGTGATTAACTCCCAGGTGTGAAATTTGATACTTACTTGCTAAAATAGTATTGCTAATGATTTAGGTCAGGCTGTAGGTTAATAAACACAGCTGAGTCTCACATTTCTAATTGTATATTTTATGGCATATAAGACATGTTCCCTCTTTCAGCATGAATATTTAGAAAAAAAAATTTAGTGTATTTACCTGTAGCCTACTAAAGGCAGTTTGGGAAATTCATTAGCCTATGGGAGATCACAACTTCATATATAAGACAGGGTAGTTTTAACAAGGACAATATAAGACACAAAATATATATATATATATATGTATAAAATTTGTCTTATATGCTGCCAAATTCTTTGAGCAAACACAGCTGCGTGTAGCTTATTAAAAAGATTAAGCATTATAAAAGCTATTTTTTATTCTAATATGTGATTTTCTATAAATTTAATTATCAAACCACTTACTGCTTTTATCATCATATGCATCAAACAATATATTAAAAAAAAATAAACATTAGAATTAGGATTACTTTTAAGATATATCAACATTTTTATTTTATATTTAACACATAACATACATAATGTATGCTTTATTAATACTTTATATATTAAACATAAAACATGAAATTTAATTAGTAAGACCCCGCTTAATGCGGGGGTTGCATTCCTGCATTAATTAATTAAGTGGGGTCTAATTCCTAGATGACAAAGCGCTAAGCGAAACAGCGTTAGACGAGACCATTTTAACATAGAGTGAATAGGGATAGGGGAACACATGACTGAAAAAAAAATTTACTTTAAATTATTTTTATATTAATTTGTATAATAATATATGTTAAATAACATATGACAAATGCACACAGAAATGTATAATAATTATTAATTAGTTCATTTTTTGTGACAAAGGTACTGATGTTTCTGAAAAAATTTTTTTTGCAATAAAGTTGTGAAGTTTTATTTGTCGCTTTTTTCTCTCCTTAAGCAAATGTCGGTAGCAGAAGATTGCATTCAAAACACCTCATTTTGCTTTTGCACTCCTTTCAAAATCTAGATCATTCGCTACAATTTGATCAACGATTTCAGTTATCATTACCAAACTTTTACTAAAGAAATCTGTAGCAAATTCTTTGGGTTCTTCGTTTTCAGAATTTCTGTTTTCCAGTGTTACATGAATTCCTTGTTCTGCCAGTTCTTGAAGTCATCGTTGGTAAGGCTCTTACCAGAAACCTGCAGTAATTTTCCAATATCCTGCTTGTCTACATTACATCTCCTGTATCGATTAAGTTGACAATTTTGTCGACCTAACGATACAGCGATAGGCTCTTCTTGATGAGAATTCTTGGATACCTTCAGCCATAACTTCTTCCACACTTCGTTATGCATTTATCAGTTAATTCTTGCCAAGCCAAGCACTATTTCCTATGTCATCCATGATGTTATATTTTTTCCAAAATTGCACAAAACAAACATGGATTTAGGGGAAGTACAGTACTATGACGAATTGCCACCTTTTGCTGATTGGTTCATGTTTGGGAATAATCATATATACGAATCAATGAAATGCTGTATTACTTTGAATCAGCATAAATTTGAGCATTTTTTAGGTGTCAAGCAGATTGCATTATATTGAATCAGCATTAAGCGAGGCAGCATTTAGCAGGGTCTTACTGTATTTTTAAGTATAATTGGATTATGTACTGTACTTTAATTTTATTTAACTTTCTTCTATTAATTATTATGTTGAAGAAAACCATAAGCAAAAGCTCTTCATAAATAATATAAGACTATAAAAAAACTTTATATTAATAAATATTAAAATATTTTTATTGATGCATTTGATTTAAGTGCTACATATCAATAATTTTAAATCAAATTTTCAGTTCTGCCAATTTTAATATTCAAATTCTTCAATAAATATTTATAATAAAATATTTAAAACTAACATACTACATTTAAAAAAATAATAATGATTATTGAAAAATTTATTTATAATAACAGTTTTTAATATAGTACATTCATAACATGTAAATCTTTTTATCTCAGAATTGACTTATTGCTTTGAATTATTGTTTTTGCTATTAAACATGACATAATTAATTCATTAAGAAAGAATGAGAACTGATTAGCTAAATTTATTATTTTTAAATATATAATTTCAAATCATACAGGTGCTTTTTGGCTTAGGTTTCTTCATTATCCTGCTTATCTATACTAATATTATAAAGAGGTAATGTTTGTAAGTATGTATACAGTATATGTAAGTTTGTTTGCAGCAGGTAATCTCCGAAACTACTCATCCAATTTCAAAAATTCTTTCACCAATATTTAGAATGGCACCTCAGGGTGGACATAGGCTGTATATTATTCCATTAAACATTCATATAAATTAAAATATATAATCTAGGTTAAGGCTTTTATGTCCAACAGATGGCGCTACGAGTACGACGACCTAAGTTTGCTTTTCTGTGAAAATGAACTAAAGCAGATCATCTTCTCTCTATCTATATAAATAAAAATGTAACGTTCGTTTGTTCCTACCGATTCCTTTGAATTTTTGACACTGCATTCGAATACGCACGTGTTTTTATATAATATACATGTCGAAATTCAACCCCACTGAAGGGAGATGGTTAGGTTTAAGGCTTACGGTAAAGAACTCTGCTTCTATTTATACTATTTTAGATGCGGGTTTTTGCGTTTTTGATTGTGTTTTAATAGGGTACGTCAAGAGAATGTACACTAAGAAGAAATTTTTCGAAAAATTCCCCCCACGGGGGAAGTGTTATACATTTATAATAGATACATTTTGAGCCACAACAACGCGTGGCGGGGTCTGCTAGTATTATATAATTTCATATATTATCACAAGCAAACATATTAAAGAATTCTAATCACTATGAATTTACCTTATGCTTAAAATACAATAAAGTAATAACATCCAAATTTTGTTTAGACACAATGAAAAAGTTTTCAGGTTAATAAGCAATATCAATCTATATCTATACTAATATTATAAAGAGGTAAAGTTTGTAAGTTTGGATGTAGGAGGTAATCTCTGAAACTACCCATTTGATTTCAAAAATTCTTTTACCAATATT